CTTCCAAGTCTCCAGGGTGGCCCCTATGCACCCGGCCTCTCCCTGATCCGTCAGCCCCCGGCCACCCAGACTGCTTCTCAGTCCCTATGGTTTGGCCTTTTCCAGAATGGCCCAGGAATGGGAATCCTACGTGGTAGCTTATTGGGTCTGGCTTCTTTCCCTCAGCAAAATGCATCTAGGATCCACCCACGTTCGTGCGGGCATCACTGGCTGATTCCCTTTTCTCACTGTGTCTTCCGTTTGAAGGGAGGACCAGCCTTGCTCTCCCCATTCCCATGTTGAAGACTGTCCCCGAAGGCTCCTTGTGTGAGTGACGATGAATCAAGCAGTGGACGTGGCATGCAGGTTTCATGTGGACGTCAGTTTTCAAATCAGTGGGTTCAATATTTCTGATACTTTGGGGACACGTGATTCAAGTCCATTGAGCTTTGTGAGTCACTGCCCAACTGGCTGCCAAAGTGGCTGTGCCATGCCATGTTCCCAGCAGAGCAGGATGACAGTTTCCAGGACCCCTAATTGCCCCAGCATTTGGTGCTGTCAGTGTTACCTGGAGAGGCTCATGGACCTTCAATCCTGCCACCCTCCCATGGGTCCTACCATGGGTCCCCGTGGGTCAGGGAGAGCACCTTTCACCATTGTGCATGATTTTGTTTGCTGCCTTCTGTCTCCTCAGGATCCTCCTGGGTTCTGGCCCCACATGTTCCAGTCTGGCCCAGGGCTTGGAACCAGGTGCTCAGTTCATGGTGCCAGCTGCTCCCTGGGTCAGGGGAGGTCTTGGCAGCTCTGTCATCCCTCCTAGGTGACCCTGGCCTCTTCTCCGCGGAAGCCCCCATCCCTTTCATTCACTCCATCTCTGATGAGACCCTGTGGCTCCCATAGGCTTACTTGGTTCCGTATCGATCCCTGAAGAAGATGTGAGTCCTTAGTGTCTCGCTCATGTCCACATCGATCTGGTGGATGTGTTCAGATGACCTCTTGCCCTTCTCCTTCATGACCTGTAGGGCAGGGCCAAGAGGAGGAAGCAGCCTCAGAACAGATGGAAGACTCCCGGCCCCAAATGGCAGTCAGCCCACAGTCAGCACTTCAAGAAGGAAGGGAAGCAGGAAGGTTTCCTTCTGCACAAAGCTGCTTTTTGACTTGTTACTGAAGCCGGGGAGGGTCACCAGAGCCGAGTTTGTCTGTGGTGACTATGTCACCGTCCGTGCCCACGATGTGCATCTGACCATCCCACCCACTCCCCAGCCTGGGCTTGATGCTCCCTCCAGCTGGAGACCTGGGCCCCTGACACGGGCTGTCCTGTTTGTTGTGCTCTGGCTGAGCGTACCTTGTATGTTCTGGGGTTTTTCGACTTGACTTCCTCTATGCTCAGCAGGACTGACCACACTTGGCCCCTGATGTTCATGGGAATGCCCTTATATACTCGATCTATCAGCTGTGGGCAGAAAACAATCTGGTGTCACAGGCCACGGGGCGACCCCAGTGAGGACCAGAGCCCGAGGATTCTGGAAATGGTTGGTTTTGGCCCCATGATTCCTCATTAGAGGTGACATTAAGCTGGGACACAGTCTCCCTTCCCAGGATTGAAAGAGTGGATGGACACTCAGGGTCAGGACTGTGATCTGAACCTTTTCCTTCCTTCAGGTCACCAGAGCATCCCTAGCCTTGAGCTCCAGGTGGTACCAGCCGATTCAGATTCCCTCCCAGCAAGGTGACGCTTGCACAAATAGGCAGGCAAACCACCGACCAGGCCTGCAGTCCTCTGGGTGAGGACAGTGTGCCACCCGCCCTCTGAGAGGCTGATGGCGCCAGGCCACAGCCATGGGTACCCGTCCCCTGTCTCTGCAGAGAGTGGTTCCCGGGGCCTCTTCCTCCATACGTTACCTTTTTACTGTTCTTATATGTCTCCCACTGTCCCAGCATTTCCATCCACTTGCTCTTTCGTGTTATCTCCCGCCGCATTTGCTGTCAAATGAGGAATGTTGGAGTTAGGGGAGCTGCCAGGCTTCCCAGAGCCGCCCATGGATGCTGGGTCTTGGGCTCTGGAGCCCTGGTGGACCCAGCTGGAGGGAGCCAAGGAAGGGCAGACCCTAAGGGTTGAGAACCTTTGAGCAAATGAGCGCCAGTGGGCTGGCTTTGGGACCCCGGGAGTCAGGCCACAGACACACCAGTCTTAGGTCAGGTCCTAGCCTCTAGGTGGGGTCCTGACATAGGTGGGCAGCCACCCCCAACCCACAACTGTGGTTCTCACTTTGGAATCTTGTCAAGCTGCCAAAGTTACAGCAACCTGGGGTCAGTTCCAGCAGGGAGTGCTGCCCCTCCCAGGGACATCGTGTTGCCCTCGCCCGCCACAGCCCAGGCCAGCTGCCTCTTCTGCCTCACCGACCACCTGCCCAGTCCCCACATCCCTGGTCTACCCCCCTCCCTATGCATCAGGCTCTTACCTTCGCCTCCCGAGCAGTGGCAGGAGGCAGCTCTGTCTCACTGTAAGGCAACCCAGGCAGAACTGAGGACCTGCACAGGGCCTGGAGCTCCCCGAGACTGGGAACCAACCCCCAGAAAGGACAGGCTCTGTCCCTATCCAGCTCAGGGCGCAGTCCAGGAAAAGACACAGGGAAAGGAGGACAAGGGCCTTCCTGTGGGGCTGACTCCCAGGAGGGGCAGGACCTGGAAGGAGAAGGAGTGTGGGGCCAGCCTGGCCGGGGTTACTGGGGCCCCTGGTGTGGGGGGTGGTCAGGCTGCACAATAGGGCTGCCCGTCCTGGACTGGAGGTGGTGCTTTCTGCTGGATCTGAGGAAGGTCAGCCCTGAGACTAAATGGGGGCCGCCCAGGGTGGGTGATCGGGCCCTCACAGGAGTCCCTCAGGGAGTGACCACATCACCCCACTAGAGTCTAGGGAGTCTGCCCTGAGAGCTGCCCAGTGCACCCTGGGACCACAAGGGTCCCATCCCACTTGACAGCCCCAAGACCCTTGCAGGGTCTGACCTCCCAGTGTCCACCTGCCTCTCCCTGCATGTGAACCACACACCCTGCGTTTCAGAAGTGGCACAACTCATACGCTCACTCCCACTCTACTTCCCCTGGATCCTCTCTCTCCATCCTACGATCCCTGACAGATGGGCTCCTGGCTGGGCTCCTTTTACCTGACCCCAGATCCCTTACCAGCACCAGATGCAGGGTCTTTAGCCACAAGCCCTGCTGCCTCCCTGGCCTCACCATGAGATGCCCAGAACGGGCACTGCCCGTCTTCTCCCCCATTCCCTAGGGCCACTGCCCCCACTGTCCTGATGCCTTTCTCCCTTCCCCATGGGGACGATGAGGGCTGTAGCTCTAGGGAAATTGGGGGAGGACAGGGGCAGGTGGGCCCTCAGAGACCGGCTGGACAACAGCCCCAAGGTTCGGCCAGGCGTCCCCTCACCCTGTGGCCACAACACTTGGATCTCACTGGGTTGTCTCCAGGTAGACATGACCAGACACTCAGGCTGCCCCGCTCCTCTGGTGCTGACTTGGGGACAGAACTGCTGAGAGCCCAGGGGCCTGACCTAGGCCAGTCTCCATTCCCCCCCGCTCCCTAGATGGGCCCCGCACCTCTGGCCTAACAGCAACCTCGGGCTGGACCTGCAGGGGAACCAGGGAGGAATTCTGACCCTGGAAAGGAGGTTGACCCGACCTGGCAGGACATGTCCTGCCTCAGAAAGGCCTTCCTAAAAGCAAACCCGTCCCTGAGCTGAGACAGGTGCTTTAGGGGTGAGGGGAGCACAGAGGACTCACTGCAGAATTCCAAAGTGATCAATGTTGTTGTAGATTCCAACAGGCTCAGGCCCCATGTCCTCTGGCAGCCCAGCTCGGTGTCCCTGTAACCCAGAGGAAGCCTTGGTGAGGGGTCCAGGGCAAAGGGTGTAAGGGCCTGGGGGTAGTGGCCACCCGTCCCTACCCTGTGCTCCTAGTGAGCCCAGGACCCTTTGACCAGGGTGCACTGGAACAGGCCTCCCTCCAAGAAGCAGACCGACCTGTACCTTCTCATAGTTCATAATGATATCCTCTCGCTCCTGTGCCCACAAACTGTCCGCGTCCTCTACCATGTCCATCCTGTGAGACAAAATTGTCTAAAGGTTACATTGTACCCGAGAGCTTCAGAGAAAACCTGAATTGCTCCCGCCGGGCTCCCAGATGCTGGCTGGTTGTATAACCTTCATTCCACCACCGCCCCCAGGTAAAAAGGGGCCAGACCCCGTGGCCCACACCTCCATGGGTCTCTGGAATCTAAAGCTCCAAGCAGTGGATGGCATCTTCCCAAGGACTCGAGAAGAGTGGGACCTGGACAGAGAATCCCGTTGTTCCCAAATGCCATGAAATGCACACACACCTGCCCTGGCAGGTTGAATAGTGTCCACCTGCCAAGGGTGAAGGGCCCATCGTGGGCTATTCCAGGGATGTGGATGTGAACTGGGATCAGGCACCAGAGGTCTCTGTACGATCGGCCTCCTGGGATGCTCAGGACCACAGAGATGCCCAGTGTCCTGCGGAGAACAAGATCTCTCCTGACTGCTCCGTTCTACCCCGCTCATCACGTGGGCTACCGTGGCCCTTCAGTCTAACCAGTGAGGCTGCTTTAGAAATAATGCCGTCTGAGCAGGAGTGTGTTTGGTTTTGGGGATGAAAATGATCTACTGTCTCTAAAGCAGCCTCTGTGCTCCTGGAAACCACGGCTCTCGGGGAGGGACTGTGGACTCCACCATTCTGAGCTGTCCCTACAGGAGGGGGCTTCATTTTCCTGGGCCACTGAGGAAGAACAGTGGGTCCTTGGTCCTGGAGAACATCTAGATGGACTGTCCCTCCTGGGAACACTCGGGGCAAAAGGCGAGCGAGGCCTCGAGAGGACCAGACAGAACAAGAAATACTCGGGGACAATCCCCAGAGCCCGGACCCCTTTGAACAGAAGGGAAGATAGTCTCCCTCCAGCCAGCCCTCCAGGGCCCCTTCATTTTCCACAACTGCCCAAGGGCAGAAGTCTCCCCATGCCACTCCCAGACAAGGGACCGTGTGGGTCCAGTGGGTCCCACAGCGAATATCGGGACCCAGCTTAGGCCCCAGACGTGTTCAGAGGACCCTCCCCTCCTTCCCACCCACAGTGGATCCATCCCAGCGTCTCTGCCAGGACCACGCTCTGCCCCATCGGGATCGGAAACCTGGGCAGATTTGGGATCTAGGGCAGGGAGGTCACAGGGTTCAGGCCTGAATTCCAGCACGGCACAGGGCGGGGCCAAGAGCAAAACCCAGCGTCCTGTCTGAATTCCCAGGCCGGTTACCGCCTCTCTGACCCCAGACTTCTCTCCTGTTGAATGGGTACACTAGAGAACAGCACCGACTCCATGAAACCCCCATGAGGACAAAAGAGAAAATCGTCTACACGGGCAGTGTAGAACGGGCTTCCAGTGAGTGCTTAGGAATGACCCTCCTCGGTAGCTGCCCAGAGGCCAACACTGCCCACAGCATAGCCACTGTCCCCAAGTCAGCCTGGAGGGAAGAGAGCAGGTCACACTCACCTGATTCTGATGAATCAGCTGGCCTGCGTTATGCCTCTCAGGTAGAAAACCTCCGAGTCCACAAAACTGTTCACAGATACCACTGTGCGTGTGTAGCTGATACCACTGTGCGTGGGTAACTGCCGTAGAACACAGAGGCAGGCCGGAGAGCGGATTGGTGCTAAGCACCAGTGACATTCTGAGGTCATGGCACACATCACAGTGGGGCCTTGCCCGGGTCAGCAGGGCCCAGAGACAGGGTCCTCCGCTGCCTGAGGCGGCCACATGCCTGCCTGCAATGTGTTTGCACACGTGCGTGCACACGTGTATGTGGGTAAACAGGTCTGTGCACCCATGTGTTGCTTCTCTGGCCAGGCCTGGCTTCCCCACTCATGTGTGCACCCACTTCCTCACCACTGTCACCCCCGAGGCCCAGGACCAGCATCACACTGCCCTGACCTCAGCTGTCCCTGCCCAGGGTGGTCTGGGATACACATAGGGGTGGAGGAAAGTGACTGCTGCTGTTGAATCTCAGAACACAAATGCTAATACTATTACCTAATGGTCTTTTTTAGTGTCTCTAATGGTATGTCTTTTTTCATTTCTGATATTTTAACTGGGTATTTCTCTCCCTGACCCTTGGATATTTTAACTAGAGGATCTTGTGGGGAAAGTGCTGGGCACACAGTAGGGGCTCATTCTTTCAGACATGTCATCTAAAACCACTCAGGGGCTGGGGGATGCCAAATTCCAGGCTCCAGAAAGAGCTTGGGATAAAATGAACCTTCAAGAGGTGGCTTTGACCTGGGCTGAGTCTGCCTGTGCCATCTAAACAGAGTCTCAAGTCCTGAGACAGGGCGTCCAGATGCCCCAATGCAGGGCCCCCATGATTGACACCTGCTCCCCTGTACTCAGTAGCAACCTCACCCACCCTGCTCTCAAAGCACACTTGGCCCTCCTATCCGGGAGCTCTGCATCTGTGGATTCAGCAACAGCAGACGGAAAATATTCAGAAAATAAACTGGATGGTTATGCCTCTACTGAACATGTGCAGACTTTGTTCTTGTCATCATTCCCTAAAGAATACAGTATCCCATCCACTTATGTAGCATCTGCATTGCATTACGTGTCATAAATAATCTAGTAATGGTCTAATGTCTATGGGAGGATGTGCACAGCTTATATGTAAATACTAGGCCATGTTATGTCAGAGACTTGAGCATCCATGGATTTTGGCATCCCTGGGGACCCTAGAACTAATCATTCATGGATACCAAGCAATGACTGTATAAACTCACTCAGGAAGGCTTCTCATTGGAGGAAGGGCCCCGTTCAGGACAGACGGGGATATACTCCCTGGACTACTGTCCATTCATCCATTGTTCCCCCTCACCCCGATTCCCCATCTAGGACTGTCCCAATGACAGCCCTAGCAAGAGGAGACAAGAAAAAAGACCAGTTCACATTGTCCAGCTTTGAGGTCTTGGAAGAAGTTGCACCAGTGTGAGAATAGGGGGTCAGTTTCCTCCAGGATCCAAAGAGCATATCAGGCCCCCTCGGGGTGAGGAAAGGAGCGCGGCCTCTCCAGCGGCCACACGGGCTACAGTAGGATGGGGCTGGGGCTGGCCATGTGGATCACTTGGGAAAAGAAAGACCAGAGAGCAGAGGAGGAGCACGGGGGCAGCCAGTGCCTAAGGAGAAGGTACCTCAGGAAAGGTCTGTACTGGTTTGTTTTCACACTGCCATAAAGAAATACCTGAGATTGGGTAATTTATAAAGGAAACAGGATTAATTGACTCATAGTTCAGGAAACTTCAATCTTGGGGGAAGGAGAAGGGGAAACGGGCACCTTCTTCACAAGGCGGCAGGAGGGAGTGAGTGGAGAACGAGATAGTGCCACACTTTAAAACCATCAGCTCTCCTGAGAACTCCCTCACTATCAGGGGAGCAGCACAGGGGAAACTGTCCCCAAATCCAATCCCCTCCCACCAGGTTCCTCCCTTGCAACAAGAGGATTACAATTCCAGATGAGGTTTGGGTGGGGACACAGAGCCAGACCTGTGAGGGTCTCGGTCTATCTTGCGACTCCCCAGGGCTAAATGTGAGTACAGACCTGCTGGCCCTGAACGGCAGCACACGAGGGCTCTGCCAGTGCGCCCCCATCAGCTGCTTCCTGGGGATGGCGGCTGCTTCCTCCAGAGAAGGGTGGATTTGCTGCCCTGCTGCCCCTGCAGGGCCTTGTGAAGCCCTGGCCAAGTCCTCCAAGGGTCAGGGTAGCAAACTGAGCTTCCTTTTTTTTTTTTTTGAGACGGAGTCTTGCTCTGTCACCCAGGCTGGAATGCAGTGTCCTGATCTCAGCTCACTGCAAACTCCGCCTCCCGGATTTATGCCATTCTCCTGCCTCAGCCCCCTGAGTAGCTGGGACTACAGGTGCCTGCCACCTCCCCCGGATAGTTTTTTGTATTTTTTAGTAGAGGCGGTGTTTCACCATGTTGGCCAGGATGGTCTCGATCTCCTGACCTCGTGATCTGCCTGTCTCGGCCTCCCAAAGTGCTGGGATTACAGGCTTGAGCCACCGCGCCCCAGCAAACTGGGCTTCTTGTCCTTCTTGCTGCTTGAATGACAACCCTGGGGTCATCCTTAGGCCCTATCACTGCCCCTGCTTCTAAATGGAAAACATTTTGGCAAATCTTCCCGGCAGAGGCCGGGGGCTCATCCCTGTCACCTGTTGTAGCTTGGGAAAGCCGGGTTAAGACATCTGGGAAAGCCCGAGAGGCTATCATCCCGCTAACAGATGAGCCAGTCATGCAGCCGGCAGACTGAGGACGCCAGCGAGAGCTCCCTAGGGCACGGGGCTCAGGTCACCGCCTTTCAAGGTCCCCTCCCCACGCGACCTCACTGCGGTCGCGAGACAGCGAGACACTAGGAAAACAGATAACTCGACAGGGAGATTTGCTACCTACCAGCCTCTCAGGGGCATGTGACTAGGAGCGAAAGCAGAGCTATGTTGTGACACAATGGCTAAATAAGATAACGGCGCACAAGATAGCTTAAGGACAAATGCCTTGACCATTCAGAGGAGGAGATTCTGTCTTTTCAGTGGTTTGGGTAGGTGAGATCATTGTCATGGACGGATCCCATGAACAACAGCCGTGCGTTGATCTGAAAGTCTATCCTGCCCCCAAGAGCGCAGAGTCCATGAGCATCGCGAGCTGTGCCCCCTACTGAGCCTGTATTCGAGAGGTAGCGGCCTGTGGATCCTGCCAGTAGGGCAGATTTAACACTGCTTTCCGTTCAACTCACACCTAGGCGAATCCTCTCTGGGTCTATCTGGAGGATACGTTATGTTCGTGAGTAAGTCCATTAAGGCTATCTAGAGACAGCCTACGGGTATGGAGGTGGGTGAGAGGTAACCTATACAGGGGTCAGTATAGGGTGGGAGGGCGCGAAGACCTATTCACACTCACAGCACACGTACCATAGTACACAGCGAAGGTATATCAGATCCAAGGTAGACTGGTATGTTGCAGTCGCGCTCCTCCCATCCCCCATATCCCAAGAGAGAGAGAGAGAACTGCCAAAATCGATTAAATACACCCCAGACTCCTAAATTTCTACAAAACGGCTATCCCGAAACTTTAAATAAGTTACAGGTTTGCAACTGTTATTGTTTGTTACAAAACAATGTAGGGCAGCCAGAGACTAGTGTACCTCTGACATCTATACGGAAGATCCCAAAGATTCTATACAGCCTGAGATGGACATGTGACCATTAGAACAAAAAGCTGTTAGCCTGAGGCGATAGTCACGTGAAAGTAAATTTAAACAGCACTATTTGCCCATTATTCCGCTATAGATCCCAATAGAGAAAAATGATCCTGCCAGTGGTTAACCACAGGGCCGCCACACTAAAGTTGAACACAGGAAGAGCACGGGCCCCACACTAACACCACGTAGTGGCCACCCACACCTCTCTTCTGAGGATCTGGGCAAGGTGG